CCAAAGTTTTTCTTGTGTGTGTGTGTGTGTGTGTGTGCTGGTAATGGGGACCGAGCCCAGGACCTTGTACATCTGTAAATGCTAGGCAAGTGTACTGCCACTAAACTGCATTCCCATTCCCAGTTCTTTTGCATTTTATTTTTAAGACAAGCTCTTACTAAGTTGCTCAGGTCTTGAATTTATGACCCTTCAGCCTCAGCCTCTTGAGTAGTTGGGACTATAGGCATGCACTACCATGTCTAGCTAAGTGGCATATTTTTATCTAGAATGCAAATCCAGTCTTATGATATGATAATGAAGAAATTTTGCTCACATAAATGATTCTTTTTGTTTTGTATTGATTTTGAGACAGGTTCTCCCTTTGTAGTTCAGACTGGCCTTAAACTCACTATGTAGCCCAGGCTGGTTGCGAACTCATGCAATCCTCCTGCCTCAGCCTCCTGAGTACTGGAATTACAGGTGTGAGCCAACACACAAACATACTTTGCTTATAGTTTGGTAAAAACAAAGCCAGGGAAAGATATTATATATAACTAATTTCTGTCACAATTATATCTTCATGCAATATTAAATCAGTTTCTATGGTATACTAATTCTCTGCCCAGATTCTGGAACAGACAGTCTGATTTTTTTCTCCCAATACTATGAGTTGATCTCAGGGCCTTCACACTAAGATATATTCCCAGCCCCTTTTTATTTCTATTTTGCACAGACTGGGCTTGAATTTGTGATCCTCCTGCCTCAGCCTCCCAGAGTGCTGACATTACAGGCATGAGCTACTACCACATCTGTCTGGCAGTCTGATAGTGTTTGAAACAAGTATTATAGTATATGTCTTTAATCTTGGTTCTCTGGTATGCTGAGGCACAAGGATCTCAATTTTGAGCCCAGCCTGAGCAATGCAGTGACTCAGCGAGGTCTGTCTCAAAATAAAAAGGGCTGGAGAGGTAGCTCAGTGTGAAGGCTCTGGATTCAATTCCCACTGCAGGGAGGAGTAGAATGGGGAAGGGAGAAGAAAACTCAACCTCAGATATGGCACTGACCTCTTGCTCTGCTACTTCCTTTTCCAGTGCCATTCTCAGACTTTCTTTTTTTTTGTACCAGGGGATCAAACTCAGGACCTTGTGCTTGCCAGGCAGGCTCAGTGCAACTGAGCTAAATCCCCGGCCCTCAGACTTTCTTCTTTAGCTCAGGCAGGAGCTCCTTACTGGGACGGCCTATTTCTAAGGAAGATCAACTATTTGTTGGGATCAGTAGAATATTGTCTTTTGTGTTTAATTTGCTAATAAAGTTTCAAGTTCAGGGTTAAAACTGAGTGCTGAAAGCCCAGGATAATGTACTAAAAGAGGTAAGGCTGTTATATTGTTTCAGAGAGCTGTTTATACACAGATACACACATTAGGCACTGAATTTCCTTGTGTGATTTTAAAGCAATGAGTTGGTCTTGTCTGGTCTACTGAAATATATTCGATATGGAGAGAAGTGGGAGAGGAAATGAAAAACAGAAGGGGAAACAGTGTGCAGGAAGCAGAACTTGCGACAGAGACAAACCCTGCCTAGAGGGAGTCCTATTAATCAGACTTTCCTGAAATGACAAGTAATTATAGCCAGCTTCTTTGAAAGGCAAGCTTGGGCTTTCCCAGCAGCATTAAATTCAGAGCAAATTTCCATTTCACTGATCCAGGGAGCCTCAAACTCTGAGATTAATATTTTAGTAACAAGGTTGTGCCAGATAATGCTAGGGAAAAGGCTAAATTCCAATAAAATGAAATCTAAGGAAGCTTTTTGGTAACTCCTGGTCCAATTTATGATTTTACTCTGTCACTGAGTAAAATATGATGCTCAGCAACTGTGTTTTTTAATCTCTAAGGAACAGAATATTCAATATTTGAAGTTAGAAGTATTTGCTTTTCTTGTTCCAGTGTATCAGCCGATTGCTGCAATGCTCCTAGTTAAAAAACAGTGCTGAGAAATCAAGTCTATATGGCCTTGATATGGCTGCATAAAAACCGTATTTTAGCCAGGCATAGTGGTGCATGACTGTAATCCTAGCACTTGGGAGGCTGAGGCAGAAGGATTGCCACAAATTCCAGGTCCGCCTGGAATGCGGAACTACATAGGGCCTGCTTGAACTACATAGCAAGACCTTGTCCCAAAAAACCAAAAACCAACCAAACAAAAAACAAAACAAAAGCCCAAAATTTCTCCTTTGGAAGTCCCTGAGGATTTCATCCTTTGTAAGGATATTAATTCAGTGACAGTCTGCTGTGGACTTCAGCTTTTAATCCTCCCAGGCTGGGAGAACACATGGGTCAGCAGGATTTGTCTGGAAATTGATATCAAAGAGTTTATTAGGTAATTCTAGATTAGTCTTTTTCTTAAAAAAGTAGTTGCTAACTCTATGTATTAAGCATCAGTAGTAGTATTACAGTAGTTTTCCCCACTCTACCTCTGTGGTTTCACTTTTTATGTTTATAGTTGCCCAGTGTCAACTGCAGTCTGGAAATACTAAATGGAAAATATCAGAAATAAATACCTCATAAGTTTTAAATTATGTACTGTTCTGAGTAGTGTGATGAAATCTCATGCGATCTTACCTGTCCTACCTGGGACTTGAATCATTCCAGTGTATCCATGCTGTATATGCTACCTACCCATTAATTACTTAGTAGCTCTCTTGTTATTGCAGTATTGTGGTACTGCAGTTTTTATGTTCAAACAACTGTAATAATGGCCCCCAAGCCATTGCTGGAAATTTTGATATGCCAAAGAGAAGCTGTAAAGTACTTCCTTTATATAAAAAGGTAAAAGTACAGTAAGAATTTTGAAAGGCCATCTTCACATAACTTTTATTATAGTACACTTAAAATTGTTTTATTATGAAATACTGTTACAAATTTCAAGTTAATATCTAATTTATAAATAAAACTTTATCATAGGTACGTACAAGTAGGAAAAAAAATAGTATCTATATGGTTTGGTCCTACCCGCAGTTTCAGTGTCCATAGGTGAGGGGAGGCCTGAAAACTTGTACTTTACAACAAAATCCTTTTGGGAATGCTATACAATTTATGTAACAGACTCAGGTTCGGTTTTTTTTGTTTCTAAAATCTTGTGCCTAAAATAGCAACAGTTGACAGATGTTCAGCTTATCTTATTAGTCACAGGATTCAGCTGAGGTACATGTGAAGTGTTTCTGTTACTACAAAGACAAGAGAGGGAAAAGAACATACTCTGAAATAATTTCTTTGTACTCTGTACCAATGTAGGTGTATATCTCCAAGATCTCACATAATTCTTACCAATTCCAGGAAGAAGGTAAAGTACTATGTTTTTATGTGGGTAAGGAAACTAAGTCTCCAAATCATTATGTAATTTTTCCCAAAGATCACAGTTCCAGAAATAAGATTTATATATACATAACCTGACTCAATGGTTCCTCTTCTTTCCACTACAGCATGTTTCTTTAAATTTTTTTTTCCTTCTCATGAAAAATACCACACATTCTACTGCCTGGCTTACTATCACAATCAGAATCTGGAACTAATTTCCTAATCAATCAGCGTGAAGTAACTTGAGCAGCATGCCCACAAGCACAGTTGTCTGTTGAACACAGTCACAAGGGCAATAAAACCCCAGCATCATCAGATTTTCAGTCTCTCTGATGAATCACAGTGTGAGAAATAGTCGTATTTGGCCTATCTTATTTTTGTGCCAGAATAAACTCTATGTTGGCTAGTTATGGTGTTGGAATCTTGTTTCCAGGAATTCAGTATTAATTTTAACTTTTGTTTTTGGTTTCGGTACTGGGATCGAACTCCAGACCTTGCGCTTGTGAGGAACCACTGAGCTAAATCCCTAGCCCTAATCGTAACTTTTTAAAACACCTACTTTACTAAAGATACTTTTAAGAAAAAAGTAACATGGAGGAGTAGAAAGCACAACCTACTAGGATGCCACAAACTAGACTTTACACAATAGAATGGGAAACAGTTTCATATAGAGTCTGGTTTGTTGAGTTCATAAAGATTCTCAAATTAGGATCAACTTCAAAGCAAAGAGGGCTGGGGTGGTGGTGATAAATTAATAATGTCTGCCATGGAAGAAAGGCTAGGGAGTGGTGGTAGTTACTTATATTTTAGCATTTTAGTCCCTCTTCTCTTCATTTATCTATTAACTATGATTTTTGGGGAAGTGATTCAGTTCCTTTAAGGCCTATATAGCCAAATAAGGAAAACAGCATATTATATGAAAGCAGAGTGACTAGATTATCTGATCTCATAAAGTCTTTGTCAGGTATAGGGTTGGAGATTATATTTCTAGTTTTTAAATTTTATTTTGCTTGCTTTGAGACAAGGTCTTGCTTTTTAGCCCAAAATAGTCTCGAACTTGTGATCCTGACTCAGAATCCCAAGTGCTAGGATTACAGGTGAGTACCAATCACCATTTAGAAAATGTCAATAGCTGGGGGTGCACGCCTGTAATCCCAGTACTCGGGAGGCTGGGGCAGGAGGACTGCTTTGAGTTTGAGATCAGCCTGGGCTACATAGTGAGTTCCAGGTCAGTTTCAACTACATAGTGAGACCCTGTTTCAAAAACCAAAAAAGAAAAAAAAAAGTCAAAAAATTTAAAAGTAATTCTAAAACAAAGAGATGAAAAATGTCAAAAAATTTTAATATCTGAACAGTAATGAAGAATCTGTTAAATTAAAGTATAAATTAAAGTATAGCTTTTGATAGGCCAGTAAAAATTATTTAGGAAGACACAGGACTGTAGGGAAACTTTCTAAGTATCTATGCAGATACTGACTATTAAGGAAATATCATTGTAAGAATACACATTACTAAACCTCATCCTAGCCTTGCCTTGAGAAGAAATTGTGATGTCTTCTCTTTGTGAAATGTTCAATAAAGAACATTTCTCATTCCTTTGTATACCCATGCTCCATGCTGTAAGTACAAAATAGGCTCAGAATTATTTATTATAGATCTATGTCTTACCTGGGATCACACAGAAATTTGGTTTTCTCTCCTTCTTCTCTCCAGATAAGCCATTCTCGAAAAGAAGGATGTACAAACATACGAGTCATGTCTCTGCGCTTGATTAGGAACATGGAGAGGTTCTCCATTCTTTGCTGAAAATCTTCCCATTCTAGTGTACCTTCAATGCTACCAGCATTGATGGCCTGAAAGATATGCTCATCAGTCAGTGGGTGGAGAGAGGCCACTGCCACATTCAGGAGAGGCATCACCCGGTCAAAGGAAGACTGGGTTGGGAACTTCATATTGCACTGGAGTAAATAAACCTCTGAGAGTGAAACAGGAACTACTTTGTAGCTAGAGCTCTTTAACACTAGATAGCCTTTCTCTATGAGGTCAAATGTGAGTTTCAGGTATAGATAAGACCCCTGACTGAGGGTCTTCAGATGAGAACTGAGCTTGCCAAATGTAGTATTGTCCATTTTGCCATTAAGTGAAATGTTATTCTGGATCTCTGAGCTGCTGTGTATCCGGTGCAGGATGTAAGCCTGCAGGTCCTGGTCTATGGCTTCATTCTCTTCTAGTCGATCCAAAAAAATCCTATGGAAAGGCAGCAACTTGGTAATTTCCTAAAACAGATGGAGAGAAAGAGAGAGACAGAAAGACCTTAAGTTTCCCCTAACTCTTGTGATAAACTATGACATCCACAAATTTACTCTGAACTTCTAAGTGGTCAAAGAAAAGGGGAAAATGTGATCAAGTATTAGTATACACAGATTAAAACAAATTAGATGCAGAGGAGAGATACAAAACACTTTTCCTAAAATTGAGACTTTAAGAATTAATTAATGATTGGTATTCTAAACAACCTTCCTATTTTACAGTTCAAATGGAAAATGAGGGCTGCAGAACTCTGGTTGTGAACCAGTTTTTCAGTGTAAACCATGGCATAGAGTCAGTTCATTTAGAGGAATGTGTAAGGATTCAAATAATATCATATAACAATGTGGATTTTAATAAAAAAGAAAAACAAAATAATGTGGCTTTCTAACCTTTTTCATAAAATGACTACATTTAACACAGGCCTTCTAGAGATTACTGAGTTGAAAGGAACACTTCTCATAGAAAGCGTGGTATCTTGGGATCGGCTTGGAAATTATGTTGGGCGAAGGCGGCTTAGTGATGACCCTTATGTCCTGGATTCCATCTTTTCTTATGTCCATTTAGTCTTTGCTCCTGCAAGTACTCACTCTTCCTTTGCATCAATTTCTTCCTCTCAACTGAGTCACATAGATGTATATCCCATATACCTCCTTCCATCTTCAGTAGTACCCTCTGACTCTGTTCTCAATCTCAGTAAAACTTACAGAAAAGTTATCTCTATATGCTATTTCTAACCCCTTTCATCCTATTCTCTTATTTGTTCCAATCAGGCTTCACTGGAGTAGTTCTTGTCAAGTAAACCCGACTTTGCCGTATCAGTTAATTACCTTTCAGTTCTCAAATTCCTCATTTTTTCAGCAGTGTTTGACATAGTTGACCACACCTTTCTGTACCTTTTCTGAGAGTTACTTTCTTCAGCTTGCATCCACAGCATGCTCTTCTCATTTTTCTCTTAGCATGCTAGACACTCTTAACCAGCCTTTCCTATTATCTTTCATTTTCATTTTCCAGCCTCTCCCCACCAGTCTAGGTTCTTATTTGTTTCTCTTCACTAGCCATTCTCATTCCCTAGAACAGAGTATCTTGTTTTAAATATCATCAAGTGGAAACAAAGCTTTTGTACATAGGGAGAGGAGGGGCCCTGAGGGAGGATGGGATAAAATAAAATTTAATGAAAAATAAATATCATCAATATGTGGATGATGCCTAACTTTGTTTCCAGATTAGTTATCTTCCTGAGTTCCCATCTTATAACTCTGTATATTCAACAGTTATACTTAGATGTTTCATAGACAAACTTAATGTGACTAAATCGGAACTACTAAATTCTGTCTCAAACATAAAACCTTTCTCATGACAATAAATGGCATTACTACTGGCACTACCACCAAATTCCTGGAGGTATGTAATTTTTCTTTTTTCCTCAAACTACCAATTCCATTATTTGCTCGGGTGAACTTCAGAATCTATTCTTGAATCCTACTGTTCATAAACAAAATCTGTCCATCAAGTCCTGACTCTCCTTCAAAATATACTGCAAATATGTTACTTCACATGCTTTCCATCATTACCACTCTAGCGTAAGTCAGTCATCATCACCTTTCACCTACATCTCTGCTTGCATTCTCCCTTCTTTTTTTGGTAGCACTGGGAATCAATCAAGCCCAGGGCCTTGCCTATGCAAAAGAAGTGATGTACCACTGAGCCACATCCCATTCCTTTACTTACATTCTTGATCCCCTACATTTTATTATTACACAGCCAGCACATGAAGAGATCTTTTAAAAAGGTATATCATATTCCGTCACTTTATAAGGGTCCTTCAAAAGGCCTTTCCTATCTGCCCTTTCTGAAACAAATATCATCTCCATTTATGCCTTTACTTCATTTTTTTATTGTAACATTTAATACTACCTCTAATTTTAGTATATGTTTAATTTTTATTTTTTTGTGTTCTAAACTAAAAAATAAACTTTATGAAGGCAAGAATATTGTTTGTTTTAGTAACTGTTGAATCTTCAACTTCTAGAACAGTACTGATACAAGCCAAGTACTTAAGAAATGTTTGCAGAAATAACCTATGAATTACTTCAGAATGTCAATGCAGAAAGAAATTATTTTCTCTCTGTACTAGGGATTGAACCTAGGATCTCATTCATGTGAGGCAAATGTTCTACCACTGAGCCATATCTCCAACCTGGGAAAATAATTTTTAAAATTCTTAGTTGAAAGATTAGGGATGTAGCTCAGTGGCAGAATACTTGCCTAGTATGTATGAGGCCTTGGGTTCAATCTATGTGAAGACACTGACATATAGAATTTGTAGATTAATATGTATGATACTTTTCCTCTTCCTTGGCATATAAAAAATTAGAGTTATCGCACCGGGGATTTAGCTCAGTGGTTCTGCTGACAGCCTCGACAGCACAAGGACCTGAGTTCGATCTCCGGTACGAAAAAAAAAAAAAAAAAAAAAAAATTAAAGTTATCTGCTCTACCCAGACATACTTAAAATTTCTTCTGTGCTTGCACCTGGCATTAAGTGAAAGTATATCTGAGGATAATACTGCATAAGCATACATTTGGTAAAAACAGATTATTTTTCTGGAGGCTTCCTCTATTTCTATCTTTCATCTTTAATAATCAAACTACTAGACAATTAGTTGTGAAGATGCATTTATGTTGACTCATACACATTCTTTAACTCAAATTACTTTGAGATTCATAATAAATACAAGATGGGCCAGGGATTTAGCTCAGTGGCACCACGTCTGCCTTGGAAGTGCAAGGTCCTGAGTTTGATTCCCTAGAACCAGAAAGACCCAAAAAACCAAAAAACCAAAAACCAAACAAACAAAAACCACAAGTAATGATATGGTCAGGATTAGAAATACAGTTTTTGATCATGGAAGGCAGTAAAAATAACCTGCAATATATAGGAATAACAAGGGCCTGGGAAAAGGGAAAGGAGGGACTTAGTGCAAGATTTTTTTGTGTGTATTAGCAATTATCACAGGGAGTTGTAACAAAATAGTGGGATGGGTGAATAATATATATTCATAAAAGAGAATTTTTTTGGTGGTATTGGGAACTGAAACCAGGGCATTACAACCATGGTAGGAAAGTGCTCTAGTACTTAGTTACATCAGCTTTTTTATTTTGAGACAGGGTCTCTCTAAGCTGCTCAGGCTATCCTCAACCTTGTGTTCTTCATGTTTCAGCCTTCCAAGTAGCTGGGATTACAGGCATGTGTCACCATGCCTGGTAAGCACCCCCACAAATCCTATGTGTGAATATGTAAATAATACCAATTTGGCTACAATAACAATGGTGGGAAAGGTGGAGTCATTTATCCTTCGCTATTATATATTTTTGCAGACTTTAGCTCCATCTACCTTCATCTAGGCCAGTGATAGTGAACCTTTTAGACCTTTCAATGATACAACAACCTGCTGCTTCACGCATGCCACAGGTGCACCACTACTGACTATGCCACTAAGTGACCAGTCAGTAAGCAAGGAAGGTAATTTAAAAAATAACAAACTTATCTCCCAGTTGTACTAAATTTAATCTAAAGCCCTAATACTGTCAATATTTGTTAGAACACACACACACACACACACACACACACACACACTTTTATGATACAGAAAAGTAAATCACACACACACACACACACACACACACACACACACACTTTTATGCTACAGAAAAGTAAAAGAACCAAAACAATCTATCTTGAGATGGTGGGTTGAACTGGATTTTGCATAGCATTAAAGTAAGTGAAACAAAAGCCAAAGTGCTAGGGATTTTCTTTTTATTGCTGTCCTCAGGACAAATCTAGGAAACAGGGAAATTTTATCAAACCTTATCTAGAGGATTGGGAATGGGAATTTAAGTTATATATAGAAAGATCATAACTCTTACTCTCTTTGGGAACTACTCTTGGTAGAGCTCTAGGATACAGTACAGGTTTAGAAAGCATTTTTGCTAAGGGAACTAGAGTCTAGAATGTTTTTCAGTTTAAGCCCTTTCCAAGGGAAATAATTTATGGTTCAAAAGCAAATAAACACATACCTGTAAACTGGTCCTAACTGTTACAATTAGTTTGAGCCAAGAAGGAAATTTTCCAATCATTTTACTCAGAAATGATACAATTGTATCCCCATAATCCGGTTTGTGAAATTCTGCTTCATTTAATCCATCAATTAAAATGATGAAATCTTCATCTGGGATTTTTCTCTCTGAGATAGAAAGAAACAAATTGCTTAATAATTACCAAGTAGATAAGTGAGTTCTTACTGGGTCTTTGATCATGTATCTGTCCAGAAAAAAAATATTAGAAAAGGCCTCTCATGGTGCCTTGAATGCTCAGGGTAAATAACTTTATAAAGACATCAAATAATTTATTTATTGAACTCAATTATGTTGTTTTTTTCCTGGTATATAAGTTTTTGCTACATATACATGAGTATATGAATCATCATTTTCAGGAATATCCATATTATCAGTTGTGAGACAATCTGAGCACCGGAGTTGTAAGAATTTGCACATGGAAATTAATTTTTCTCTCATATATGAAAAGCTAAAGAGAACATGTTTGGTTTTCTTTTCCCTTATCTGATAGCTTTCAAGAGGATACTATCATATGTTATTTTGAGAATTTCCAAAAAAAGGTTTAAACTTAAAAGTGTAAAGCAGTATAGAAGACTACATGTGACTACCGTGGGAAGGAAGGAATGAACAAAAGGGATAACCAATACACAGACCCAAACCTGGCAGGTTACATCAGAAGATTTCAAACTAACCTCAAAGAGCCAGTGTCAGTTCCTAGTTTCCAGGGAAGAAGCCACATGTGAAAAAAATCTGCTATTTGTATTCAGTACCCTCTGGATTCCTCCTGATCCTAAACTGACATAATCAGTTTATTTCCGGGGTTAGGCCAAAGAAGGAGCTTAGGAGACTTTAGGTTTCTATTCTCATTAAATGCTTATCAATTCTCTAACAACACGAAGCAATGAGAATTTTAAAAATCACTAGACTGAATGAACATTTTAGTATAAATCAACTGAGTTGTAAATAAGCTACTATTTGTCAGGTTTTGAAGGGAAGAAAGCAAGAAATCATTAAGTGTCTGATCTAGAAATAGGTTTTATCTGTTGAGGAAAAAAAAAAGTGAAGCTGAATTCAGAATAAAAAGTCAATAGACTTCTAAATAGGACAGGCTCTTTGTCTCAAAAACAAATTATATATGCTATTTTTGTTTTACATTTGAACATACACAAATAATTTGTAATGATTAATAAGCATTTACATTTTCCCTGTAAAAGAATTTCATTCCAACACTCAATACTAAATATACTTAAATCATTGCTTTATTGTAGCGACATTTTAGAAAAATAAATGAACTATGGATTCCAGCTCTATTAACAATGATTATTATTGAAATGGCATTCTAGATAATGTAGGATTATGAAAAAAAAAAGCTATTTTAGGCAGTTCAAAGAATTAAGAAAAAGAGAAGACTTGCTTGGAACGAATTGGGATTTACTCAATTTGGGGGCTATTATGTTTTTGATTTTAAGGACTTTGGCTCCTTTAAGCTTAACTATATCTTTAAGTCTATCAGAAGAATTTTCTACTTGTGACTTCTTGGCTGAACACCAACACTTACTCCTGCCCAGTGATACAGTGGAGCAGTTCAGGACAGCCCACTGCAATATTTTCAAGAACTGGTTCTTAAACAGCTGGTAGCTTGAAAGTGACTATGCTGAAAATTTTTTATACATTGGAAATTGGCAGTCATTAAAATGAACCTTCCTGCTTAGATGGCTGTTAAAAATTTATCAGCACGTGACAGCCTACATTCATCAACACTACCTTTAACTTCACAGTTCCTTCCTAAGAAAGACACAATCTTCAAGTGGAGAAAAAAGGCTGCTCATAATATATCTGTAGAGCTTTTCTGGTAAAAGAGAAAAAACAGAACAAACACATTCTCAAGCATAAACATCAAGAATGTGCTCTAAAGTAGAGGTGGGTGTGGTAGCTCATGCCTGTAATCCCAGCATTTGAAAAGTGAAGGCAGGATTGCCTAGAAATTGAGACCAGCCTGGACTACAAAGTGAGTTCAAGACCAAGACTAAACTACAGGGTGAGTAGTGAGACTGTTAAAAAAAAAAAAAGATGTGCTCTAAAGTATGATCTAGACATTTTAATGAATAATTCATTTGCTAATGAAATTAATCTTTCATTTGCACCAATTCCCAGTAGAGTATATTATTCATCCCAGGAGAAAAAGAGATAATGTCATTTCTCTCTCTTTTTTTTTAAGAGGAATATTTTTTCCTTCTAATCAAGATCAAGATGTTCTTCTAAATCCTGCCCCCACAAACTCTCCTCTTTTGAAGAAATTACCTGTCACCTATGAATACAGGTATATGAGACATCAACAAATATTTCATCAGTTAAGTACTAAAAAAGGCATGTTTATCTAGGGATATATTTTTTAAGATTCAGAATAATAAATGAAAAGAATTTTCTAATGCTACTGATACTATAAAACAATGAAAACTATTCCAAAAAATTCCTTTTCACTTGTTAAATGAGGGTTCTCAATTATATATTTAAGAGACTTTAACTTTATACTTTATCTTTCAAATGCAACCTTCCTAAAGCACTTTTAGGAAAGTGCTTCTGCATATTGATCTTAAAGCTTTTATAGATTTCATTCATTCATTTATTTATTTTGGGACAGGGTGTTGCTATTATGTTTTGAACTCAATATGTACCCCTGGCAGGCCTTGAACTCACAGCAATCCTCCTACCTCAGTTTCCTAAGTGCTGGGATTACAGGCATCACCACTGTGCTTGGCAGCAAACTTTTTCTTCTTCTTTCTTTTTTTTTTTTTTTTTTTTTTTTTTTTTTTTTTTTTTTTTTTGGTATTGGGGATCAAACTCAGGACCTTGTGCTTGCAAGGCAGGCATGACGACACTGAGCTAAATCCCCAGCCCAGATTTTAAAATAATATGTTAATTCAGGAACTTTTACGAGATTTCACTAATGAAAATTTAAAAAAAATTAGGGACTAACAAAGGACTGCTACTTCATATTTTGTTATATAAGAATATTTAAAATACAACTACCATTCATTTCAATTTTATTTCACAGAATAAAATATTTCAATGTTACAAATTAAAGACCTTAAACTTTGCATACATTTACAATATATGTAAAACCATACTATAGCTACATCCACACAAATCCTAGGCAGAACCCATTTAAAATTTTGTCATGGATTAACTGAAAATTTTAAATGGACTGGTTCTTAAGAGCAACTGCTCTGACATGTCACTGCAAGAGCTTCACAAACACTTGAACCTTTGTTTTTAATCTCTTAAAAATATACATTTGCTAAGGATTCTTCATTGCTTACATTATATAATGAGCAAATACGTGAACTATCTTCTTCAGTAGCCCCATTCTTTGACCTTATTTGGTGTCTAATGGAAATAATAACTAGAGAGACTGCTGGAGAAGAGAAAGTAGCTAATAGTAAAATTAGGAATGAATCCTAGAGCATGAGATTATACTTAGTGTACCGCACAGAAATAATTAAAAGTGAAAAGACTCAGGTAACATTTTTATCAAAAAAAGCTTCACATTGCATCTAAATTATCTTCTAGTTATAAAAACAAATTATTATTTTCTTTCATTGTATATTTGTGACTGAAGTAAAAGCCTACTGAGAAACTTCATTTCATTTGCTTTCTGTCTGCACATAGGTCTATGTGTTTTGGTTTTTTTTTTTTGTACTAGGGATTGAACTCAGGACCATGTGCTTGTGAAGGAGGCGGCAGAAGCACTGAGCTACATCCCTGGCCCCAGGGCCTATGTGTTTTAATCACTACACTTGTGAAAAGTATTGTGAGAAATATTGACTAAGTTTTTAAAGAAAAATATACAGTTTGAAATCTAGCTCCTGACTCTATACTATACGTGTTTTACATGGAATTTTCCTGGAAAGAAAACTCTAGCTAACATTAAAAAATTATGTATTTTAAAAATTATTGCAATACAATTTATATACAATGAATTGAGAATACCTAATTGTAGAATTTAGAAGTTTCATAAATATATGCTCTGATATAACCAACACCCTAATAAAAAAAAAAAAAAAGCACCTCTAACATCTAAATGCAATGTTTCAAACTCATTTACACTGTTGTATGTATTATTAGCCTGGCCCTTTTTATTCCTCACAAGAATTCTATTGAACAAATATGCAATTTGTTCATCTCTTCTACTGATGGACATCTGGCTTGTTTCCAGTTTTTGACTATGAATAAGGCTGCTAGAAACATTCTTTTGTTTGCTTTTGATACAGGATCTTTCCATGCAGTAGAAACATTCTTGTACAAGTCTTTTTGCAGACATCTTAATTTCCCTTAAGTAAACATTTAGGAACAGAATTGCTTGGCCATAAAATAGATGTATATTTAACTTTGTAAGAAATTGCCAAATAGATTTCCAAAGTAGTTGTACCATTTTACAGTACCACCAACGATAAAAGTTCTAGTAATTTTTCATTCTCACCAATGTTTGGTGCTCATTCTTTTTAATTTTAAACATTCCAATGGTGTGAAGTGGTAAATCATAATTTTAAATTACATTTCCCTGATAACAAATGACATTAAGCACATTTTCATGTCCTTGTATTTTATTACCATATGTTCTTTTGTAAGGTGTCTAAATATCCCATCCAGTTCAAAATTGGATTGTTGGATGGGCATGATGGTACATGCTGATACATGCTGGTATAGCATATAGCATAGAGCATAATGGTACAGCCATTCAGGCGATTGAGGCAGGAGGACCTCAAGTTCAAGGTAAGCCTGGGCAACTTAGCAAGACCTTGTCTTGAAATAAAATAATGGGGCTAGGGATATATAGTTCAGTGAAAGTGTGTGCTTATTATGCACAAGGTCCTGGGTTTAAAGCCCAGCACCACAAAATTAACAAATAAAATAAATGAAAAATAAAATATGGATTATCTTTTCAGTATTGACTTGTATGTGTTCTTTAGGCATTGTGGATGCAAGTGCTTTTTCTTCCCTGTCACACACATGCACTCATACACATGCAGATGAATATTTACTCCATTTTTGTGACATGCTTTTCCTTTTTCTTAGTGTTAGCTTTTGTCAGGAAGACATTTTTGATTTTGATGAAATCTATCACCTTTTGTTTTCATGTGATATATATCTCCAGCCATGTTTATTACAAATTTTTGAGACAGGGACTCACTAAATTGCCTGGGGTGGTATTGAACTTATAATCCTATGGCCTCAGCCTCTTGAGTAGCTGATGTTTCAAGTGTGTACTGTAGTAGCTGGCTATTTATCACCATTTTAAATATGCCTAAAAAGTCTTTACCTACTGTAAGTTGTGAAGATATTTCCTATATTCCTATATTTTTTTCTGTATTACTTCTAGAGATTAAACTTTTCTAATTGGGCCCCTGATCCATCTTAAATTTATTTCTGTGTACAGTGTAAGGATTTTTTTTTTTTTGGTAGTATTGGGTATTGAGGCCAGAGTCCCTCTACCACTGAGCTATATCCCCAGCCTATTATATTTTATTATTTTATATATATATATATTTTTTTTTATTTTGAGATAGTGGGTTCATCTCAAACTTGTAATCTTCTTGCTTCAACCTCCCAAGTAGCTGGATAATAGGTATATGCTTAGTACACCACAAAACATTACCGTCACTACACTTGGCTGAGACTCATTTATTCCCCTGTATATACATATATAGTGGTCCCAGTACTGTCGGATAACAAGAATTATCTTTCCCAAATTGTCTTGGAACCTTTGATAAGATCAATAGTTTGCATTTTTGTGTGGGTTTATTTCTGTATTCTCCATTCTGTTCCATAGTTTTACCTTCTATCCTTGTGTGATCACCACCCTATCAGTGGAGCTGACTCAAATTAGCTTATGAATGGTAACTGCTTAAATTTTATGTATCAAATAAGCTTTTTGCCCCTAAGATAGTTGTTAAATATTTAGTGAAACATTACTGTCTGTCATGATTACTGTAGTAATCTGTAATGCTCTAAGATTTGAAATGAAATACTATCAATTTTTCAACTTTTTACAGTTACTCTTATTTTCTATTCTTGTTCTTATTTAGCTATACTTGTTTTCTATGATTTTCTATTTGTTGTAAATTTCACATAAAAATCCTACTGGGATTGTGATGGAAATCATGTTGAAGCTATAGACCAGTTTGAGGAAAAACTGATGCCCTTCCAATTCATATATACAGCATATGTTTTTCATTTACTAAATTTTTAAGTTTCATTCTGCAGTGTTTTCATTGTGATGGTCTCACATATCTTTTGTTAAATTTATTCTTGATTTTGATGCTACTGAAAATATCTGTTCTAGTTATCTTGCTATGCCACATAGCTAGGAGCTGAGTGGCAGGGCTGGAATCATTTGGAGCCTTCTTCACACAACATTATGTGTCAGGATTAGAATGATTTGAAGACTAGAATAATCAAATGGATTCTCAATGTGGTTTACACTTCTTTACAACATGGTGATTTCAGGGTAGCCAGACTCTTTACATAGTAATACATGCCTCCAAAACAAATGTTTCAGTGAAAAAGATGGGCACTGCATGGTCATTATAATCTAGCCACAGATGTACACAACATCACTTTGCAGTATTCTGCTGATTGAAGCAGACAGAAGCCTGTGACTAGGGACAACACTCTCAGTAAGATGAATGTCAAAGAATTTGCAGCCACATTTTAAAACTGTGCAGTACTATTTACATTTCATTTTCAACTGTTCCTAGATATTTATATATATTGACCTTATAGTCTAAAGTTTTGCATTTATTAATTCTAATAGGATTTTTTTGTAGATTCTAAAGTTTTCTAGGCAAATAATAAAGACACCTTTATTTCTTCCTTTCCAATCTTTATAATATTTTCTGGCTTATTTTCTTACATACTAGTTGGGACTACCAGTGGAAGGTTGTAAGTAGTGAGACTGAGGGAACTGATTTTGCTCTTGATCTTAGGAGAAAAGCATTCAATATTTCATCCATTATGTGTAAGTTTTTTGGAGTTGCCCTTAATCAAATCAAGCTTTCTTCTATTCCTAGCTTACATAATTATTATTCATTGATGTAGTATTTTGTCAAATGCTTTTCTGGATTTATTGATGATTATAGGGATAAACATCTTTTTTTTTTTTTTTTTGGAGACAGAGTCTCACTATGTAGTTGAGACTGACCTGGAACTCACTAAGTAGCCCAAACTGGACTGGAACTCACAGTGATCCTCCTGCCTCAGCCTCCTGAGTGCTGGGATTACAGGCGTGCGCCACCACGTCTGGCAGGGATAAACATTTTTTTTCTGTTAGTATAACAAATTATACTGATTAACTTTTAAATGTTAAGCTAACCTGCAACTTGATCAAGCAGGGCTATTAATTTGCTATCAGTTTTTGTTTGTTTTTTCCAGTACTGGAGATTGAATCTAGGGTTTTGGCACTGACTTTAATCCCTAGCCTTTTAAAATTTTTGAGATAGTGTCTTTCTAAGGTGTTATGCTGTCCAAGTTAGGCTTGTACTTGTGATCCTCCTGTCTCAGTCTCTGTAGTGCTGGGATTATGGTCGTGAGCCACAATCCCTGGAAGATTACTGAGTTCTGATTATTCCATCTCTTAATTCCTGTCACTTGTGCCCTTTCCTCTCTGCTGCTTCTACATTATTTTCTCACACCTTGACTATTACAATAGGTAACCTCCTTCCCCTTCTCACCACCCTCTCAGAGGCTCTTTCTTCATTGCCTGTTCTTCTGCAATGCAATTCTAATTGTGACTTTCCTGTTTGTAAAATTTTCATGGCTAATCTCTTCTATGGTCCGCCATATGAACCTGTAGTTGAAAAACATACAGTTTTAAAGTTCAGTAACATTAAGAACAATTTAGCCAAAGGGGATAAGCACAGAAATAACCATTTAAAAAAATACTGCAAATAAACTGTACTATCTGGCATAAGGTATATATTCAAATGTACTTCATAAAATATTAATTCTTATAACATGTTGAGTATCAATGGAGATATATAAAAAGGATCTAATGTCAATTTAGAAGGACATGAGTTTGACTGGTGGGATAAGATGAATCAGCAGGTGATTCACGAGTAAGGTAGCATTTAAACTGGTCTTTGAAAGATGGGTAGAATTCTGACAGGCAAAAATGTGAGGAGGAATACTAAAAATAGGAATCACTGAGTAAATGTATGAAGGCAGGAAAATGTAGGGGATTGTGTAAAGATGGTGAATATTTTAGTTTACATGTAAACAAGGGTTCACAAGGACAAAAGTGAATCATAAGGCTGGAAAGTAGCTGAATCCAGGCCATCAAGTACCTTGAATGCTGGACTAAGGAGACAGAAGTTAATTCAGTATGGAAGAGGGAAACACATGATTTCTGAACTAGAAAATTAAGGGATCAGTGCAGTGTTTTACGAAGCTTTATCTGGAAGCAATACATAAAATTTAGAAGACTGGAGTGACTAAGGCAGAGCTTCCCTACCAGGTATTCATGAATGGGTTAGAAATGTGCTTAAAAACCAGTCTTTTAGCCAGCACTGGGTAGTACATGCCTGAAGTAGTTTTAACTACTTGGGGGCTGAGGTGGGAGGATCACTTGAGCCCAGGAATTATAGGTCAGCCTGGGCAAAATAGTGAGACCCAGTCTAAAAAGAACTAACAAAACCCCTTTTTGTATTCCTCAGGGTATTTGGGCCTGGCACAGCTGCAGCTTCAGGGCCAGTCATATCCAATCATGAGTGATCATGAATTTTTATCCCAATTAGCTATGTAATTTGTTATAAAACTTAAAGGTGTTATATAGTGTGTGTGTGTGGGGGGCACTATACCAGAGAAGACCAGAAATGAGTAGCAAAATAGATACAATGTTATGGGTAGTTAAATAATCCTTGGGGGTGATAATAGTAGGAAAAAAATTTGAAACAAGTGAATATAAGAATGATGAAGGCAGAATTAATAGAATTTTAGAGATTAACTGATTTTTCAGGAAATATACTTAAAATATTTGTAAATAAAATTCCAAGTTCTTAAAAGGTTTAAAAGGCATGATCAAGCTATAGGTAGAAGAAGATATAACAGAAGTAGAGACAGAGACCAGAGATTATCAGAGTTGAGAAGGAGAAATTTGGTATCTAAATTATCAGCAATGAATTTGAAATAACTGAAGATGACTGTCAGGATTACAGAAATTATAAATAACTTTCCTTAAATTACTTTTGAAGTCCTGGGGGTGGGGTATGTAAGTCTCTTGGGAATAAACAGGATTATTAAGGAATCTCATGCTTACTAAAATCCTTTCTCTTGCTTCTAGCACTGATAGAACATTTTTGAGATGACAGAGAATAGAGACTTATGGAGACATGTACTACCTCTAAGGAGATGTCTGTATTTATGCTACATCTGATGGAACTGCAGAGGCAAATGGGAGGAAAGGCATAAGCATGAGTGGGAAGTAGATTCCATTTAATTTTGTTTCATTTAAAAAATGTAATAACATGAAATTTATATACTATGAAGTATCTTTTTGCCTTCTAAAATATGTTTCAAAGTATACAATTAAGTGATTCTAGTATAAATACAGGGCTGTATGAACATGGATGCTTTACCTGAACAGAAAGGGTAATAAAAAATATCACATAAAGACTAGGGTTGTTTCTAACCATAGAAACTCTACAACACTAAGAGTCACACTTTACTTACTTCATCCTTTGGGCCTTACACAAATGACTGGAAGCCCTATTACCTTTAATACGAGAAAAATGAATTACATTTAAAAATAAAAACAAGAATTTTTATAAAGAAAGAATAAAGTAATATTTCCTCTAGGAATTTGTTTCCAAGTAAAATCTTTTATCTCTTAACTGTATCCTGTAGGACATGAGCTATAGAACATTTAGTTTTGGCAATGTGATAAAAATAAAAATAATCATTTCTATAGCATGACCCAGGTGACCTTAGGCTCTTTTGGCCTTTATTTGTACCTTTATGGAGATTCTCTAGGGGCTCTAGGACTCCTCTCCGGAAGGAAGCCATGGGGTCTTGAACACAGGACCGAAGGCTCAGCATGCTTTGCAGGTGAGGCTCTCGAAGAAGCTGTTCCCGATATGCTGTCAGCTGAGGTGAGCGGCAGAGCAGGGCAGCCACATTGTGGACAAATTCTGGTACCAGGCAAGTATAGGCATTATCTGCTTGACAATAGTGATAGGCAACCACCTACGAAAGAAAGATTAAAACGCAAACAAATTTATCAGCAGCTATGGTTATATGAACATTCTGCAACACTGTATTTTGTCTATTTCTTGTACTTTTTTCAAGCAAACAGGAAAGTTGCTTATTCAACTGCCTAATTTATGTCAGATCAGAAATGTGACACATTTCAATTATATATGTAATATCATAAGCAAAAATTAAAATTTATAGATAAAAATTGAAATTTCCCTCTGGTATATAATAGGAAGACTGAGAATCAAGATGTACATTAACATCACTAACATTTTTCAGCACAGAGCAGTATATGAAAGACTCTGATCTTGTAACAAAGTACTAGTAATAAACATCAGAAAAATTATCTGTCTCCACAAATACTTATGCTTATATCACTTTTGATTACAACTATGCTATAAAGTAAGTCTTAAAAAATGATTTAGATTTAAAAATTATCACTAAGCATTTTCTGAGAGCCCAATACAGTGTCAAAATTTTAAAAAGGAAGAAGGAAAGGGGTGAATTTGTTGTTGGTGGTGTTTTTTTGAGACAGGGTCTCAATGTGTTGCCGGGCTGGCCTTGCAGTGATCTTCTGGCCTCAGCCTCTGAGTGCTGGGATTATGGGCGTGTGCCACCATGCCCAGGGGGGTGAGTTTTTGTTTTGTTTTGTTGTTAGGTGTAGGTCTTAAATTCAAAGAACTCAGAAAATCTGAGGGTAAATAACACCTAGGGGCTGTCCTGTCTGACTAGAACTTGGGAGTTTTTTTGTTTGTCTGAATTTACAGAGTTCATACCTTATCGTTTTATTGATCACTCTGCTTTAAGAATAAGCACAGGGAACAATTTTAATCTAGTCAATCTGGCTCATTACTACCCAGCAAAGAAGTCACTGGCAGGAAAGACTCAGCTTGATGTTCGGGAAAGCATTTGGCACTGAGGTTTGGCACATAGTAAGTGAGCAGTAGTGTCAGTTGATAATGCTATTTTGATTATCATCACATCCACTCGTCTTCTCTTCACTCATTATCACCCTCACTAAAGTGCCATATACTCCTGTTTAACTATTAGTTTTGAATCTACAGGCAACTTAAACTTGTGCTAGTGCCATTCATGAATATACTACTGGGGCTTCAGCTCTTTGGTTATCTCTCAGACAACAGTCATCTACTAGAGTTCTGCTTTGAAAAGATTCCTAATCTCTGAGTATAGTCATCCTAGCTCTTTTAACACCTGCTGGAAATGTCAATAGTTTAAAAATACCTGAATATCACACACACACAATTCAGGAAATGATACATAAAGCTGAAGATAGGAACTGATGGTAATAAAGCAAGGAAGTCAGCATAATATGGATATTGAAATAAAAAGTTGCATTTTTGTAAAAACAGACTCTCTTTTCTCCAGGGAGACTAGTTATCACCTTATATTTATATGAAAATGGTGAGGAACCTAAGAGAAACCCTGTCAGTAATTGATCTGTCCTCTCAATAAACAGTGAATGTCAGTAGTTATTGTTCACATGGATACAAATCTTCACTCGATAAAAAAGCAAAAAGCAAACCTCTGAATCAATATAAAGTTTCATCATGTATTACTTCAACTGGTCCCATATGTCAGGGGTAAGCACAGCTCAGGAAATCTGCTGTAATTTACCCTTTACCTAAAGTCATGGGATATCTTTTTTTTTTTTGTACCGGGGATCGAACTCGGGACCTTGTGATTGTGAGGCAGGTGACAGAACCAATCCCGGCCCAATGGCATATCATTTTAAAGAGAAAAATTTTGCAATATAGAAAAATAATTCTTTTACTGATTTCATTAAAAATCATCTGTACTTGATTGAATGCGGTTTCATTTAACAAGGTCAATGTTGATGACGCAGCTTTTGGGGTTGCTTCTCTTTTAATTTTAAATATTTCTTTGGCATTCCAAATACAAAATCTTGATTCCTTTGTAGACTTCAGGTAGAAAAACCAACATCTTTCAGAGATCTGCAATGTGGCTTAAAAATGGTTATCTACTGGACCTTTCAAAGTAGTTTGTAGAATATACACATATACTCTGTCAAAAACATTTGGCACTTTCCCAAAATTGTCTTTGATATTATCCAAAACATTCCTATGTGTAAAACAGGAAATAAGCAGGGGAATAAAGATTTTTTCCATCAGTCTTTTATTGTATCAGTGCTTAGTAACACCCTACAGCTTTGTGGAAGTTATCTCATCCAACCATACATAGTCATTATTATTACAATTTCTTGGAAATGGTTCAGAGTTAGTCTACCCCCACACCAATAAATCAACATGTAAAACTGTTCTCCATGGTGAATTTGCATTTCTCAAAATTTTGTCCAAATTTAAATATTTTGCTTTCAATTTCCTTTAATTTTTTTTTTTTTTTTTGATACCAGGAATCAAACTTGGGCCCTTGTGCTTGCCAGGCAGGTGCTGGAACCATGGAGCTAAATCCCTGGCCCTCCTTTAACTTTTTATTATGAAAAATATATATAAGCAGAGACAATAGGACAATGTTCATGTTTGTGTCATCCAGCTCTAACTATCAAAATTCATAACCTCTCTTTCCTATTTCTACTCTTCTTCCTTGTTGGACTATAATGAAGCGAGTCCCAAATATCACATAATTTCATCTATACATATCCAGCCTACCCAACCCAATTTTCTTTATTTCATTTGTGTGCTGCTGGGGGTGGAACCCAGGGTCTTAAGTATGTTAGGGCAGTGCTCTGCTACTGAGCTATACCTTTCAGCCCCAATATTTACTTGTAAAAGATAAAGACTATTTCTTTAAACATAACTGAAATATCATTTTCATGACTACTTTAGTAATAATTCTGTAATATCCTTGATTAGCCAATCAAGTGTTCAGATTTAAATTTCATTTTTAGCTACTTATATTACTTGTTCACATTCATTTTTAAAAAATGTTAAATCTCTAAATTTTTTTTTAAAACAATTCTAGGGCTGGGGATTTAGTGCAGTGGTGCTGCTGCCTGCCTCTCAAGTGCAAGGTCCTGAGTTTGATCCCCAGTACAAAAAACAAAACAAAACAAAACAGCAACAACAAACTATACAAATTACATCTGACACTGACTAAAGTTGCATTAATTATTTGGAAGAAGACAGTAGTTAAATTTACCTTACTCTTGGTGAGAGAAAAAAAAAAACCAAACTACTGGTAGGCTACATAGAAAAAAGACTGTAGGTCAGTGTAGCCATATGCATGAAATCTTTTGATTTAATGCTATATCTAAGACATGGTAACACTTATTATAAAGCTCATCAAAGGGACAGAGTGGCAGCAAACCTGATAGGCTTGTGTTAGAAGTTGAAGTGCTTCATACAATACAGACCATTTTCTGTTTCAAGTCTCTGATGGGATTAAGTCAATCTCACATTAAAGAATCCCAGCTACCGAGGCGGCTTAGGCAGGTGGATTACAAATTCAAGTCCAATTTAGGGAACTTAGTGAGAGCTTGTCTCAAAATAAAAAACAAAAAGAGTTGAGAATGTAGCTTAGTGGTACAGTACACTTGGGTTAAATTCCCAGTTACATCCCCTTCCCTACAGTTTTGAATATCTGGGAATTGAACAGAAAAATCTAGTTTACATAATGGCTAGCAGTTGTATCATTTAAATTCTAGAGCTGCAGCTATCTTTCCCTCAGGTCTGTACTCATACTCAACAGAATCTGTCTCTTTTTCATCATTCTGCGTATGAGTGTCTTCTCTGTCATTACTCTCTGAATGATTTTCTAACCAGTATGAACCTTCAGCTCCTAATGTCTGTTTTTTAGTATTTCTAGGAGGCTCACTGTGAATAATTACTACCTCTTGTCCCTCAATTATAATTCTTACCTTTACTGTGAGACTGGAAGCTAAGAATAGCTTCCAGGCTTGAGTTCTGTCTCAGTAATTTTCCAATTTGGAGTCATGCCTTTTTTTTTGAGAAGGGACAACAGGAATTTTATTTACTTTTGAAGTTTTTACTTTGATAATTTTAGACTTACAGCAATGTTTCAGAAGCAGTATATAGTTTCCATTTATCCCTCACCAAGCTTATACTAGCATTAGCATTTTACATAACCATAGTACAATTATCAAAACAGTAAGTTAACATAGGCATAATAATATTAACCAAAGATATTCAAATTTTAGTATTTCCCGCTTTGTCCTTTCCTGTCCAGGATTCTAACCAGGACCACGTGTCATTCAGTTATTTCTCCTTAGTCTCTTTTTGTCTATAAGAGATCTTCAGTCAGTGTTTTCCATAACCTTGACACTTTCAAAGGTATGGTCAGTTCTTTGATTAATGTCTATCAATTTATGTTTGTCTGATATTTTCTGATGATCTGAAACTTTTTTTCCTGGAAGTACTGGGTATTAAACCCAGGGCCTGCACATTTAGCTATATCCCCGGCTCTTTTATTATTACTATTTTTAAAAATTTTGAGAGAGTCTTGCTAAGTTACTAAATTGCCCAGGCTGGTCTCAAACTTGTGATTCTTCTGCCTCAGCCTACCAGTGTTGGGATTGTTTTTTTCTCATTGAGTTTATTGGTACGTTTTAGGTATACAGTATAGCTACATTTATCACTGGGATCTTGTACCTTTACATGACAGATCTTGGTTCTCATATTTTCCCCTTATCGCTGCCCTCCTTTAAAACTCCTGAAGCCTTGAAACAAATTCAAACACACATGTGTGGGGGGATTCTTCACTGGGTTCCCATAGGTATCAATGAATCCAAGGCAGGGCAAGGAAACCTGACCCTGCCTAACCTCTTCCCTGGGAGGGAGGTCCTGGGCATCCACAGCAGTCCTTTGGATGACTAAGGATAGTCACACATTGTGTTCTTAATCCAGTGTGTTCTCCTTATGAGACCCCATCTTTTCTTATCTCTATTCAAGAATATTTTATACTTTCCCAAAGTATTTATATGTATTGATTTTGGCACACTATATCTTCTCTTGTACATGATAATATGTGATATGGCAACTATTTCTTCTGAAGAATAAGTGTTGGGATTATAGGATAGCCATTACCATCATGCCTGGCTTACACTTTTTTTGGGTCAAAAGCACCACAAAAACAGTGTTGCATCCTTAGTGAATCATGTCATGGGGTTCTCAATGTTGGCATGTCTTGTTACTAGTGATGTTGATCTTGTTCACTTAGTTGAAATTAAGGTTCTGTCGGGTTACTTCAGGGTAAAGCTGCTGTCTTTCTTTTTGCACTTAAGTATCTTAAGGGAGATTATTTGAGAAGATGAAAATTCTGCTTCACCTCAAACTTTCGCCCATTAACTTTAGTATTCATTAGTGGATCTTTTTGGTAACAATTATTATTGTCTATTTGCTCAGTAATGATTTTTTATTTTCCTTTCTTTTTACATTTGTTAATTAGAATCCAACTGGAAGAAAAACTTTCCTCTCTCCCTTATTTATTTAATAAGTACGGACTTATTTCATTTTATTGGTTGTGATCCAATACTCTATTTATTTTGTTGTTCAATTTGTTCCAGCTTTAGTCATTAGCTCCTGTGTTTTTTCAAGATGGTTCTGAGAAGGGTATTGGGGGTGGCTGTGTCCTTTAAATATTAGGGACTGTGTTAACTGCTGTGACTATGTTTTCCTTAAAATTTTATTGGTTTATTTAAACTTACATTGATACCTAAGAGCTTATTTTTAGGAAAATAACTTTTTCAAAATAGTTTCAGGTAAAAAGTAGCATTATTTTATACTTTTGCAACAAACTATGTCTGCCTCTGTATTCACTATGTTGCAATATATTGTTTCAGGTTCAACTATATAAGGAAAGCCCCCCCACTTAGAGAAATGAAGGATATTTTAATAATCTTTTCAGGTAATTATGTACATTCTTCTTTGATACTATGCTAAAACCTGACTATTGGTAGATTTAGAAAATTATTAGTATTTTGCTGTATGTATGTATGTATGTATGTTGTTGTTTTTTGTTATGTAGCTCAGGCTGGCCTCAAACTCACGGTGATTCCCCTGCCTCAGCCTCCTAAGTGCTAGGATTACAGATGTGTGCCACCATGTCCAGTTACTATTATTGCTATTATTATTATTATTATTATTATTATTATTATTATTATTTGGTACCAGGGATTGAACTCAGGACCTTGCAAGGTAGGTGATGGTACCCCTAAGCTAAATCTCCAGCCCGCAGCTATTATTTTTAATTAACAATTCACAACCCATTGATAGAGTATAATGTAATGCTTTGGTATATATATAAAATGTTGAATGATTAAATCAAGATACTTAACATATCATTTTTTCTCTTAGTTATTTAAGAACACACATTATTATTGTAGATATCCTGCTATGGCATAAATCTCAAAATAATTTCTTTTATCTGAAATTTGATTAACAACTCTCTCCCTAGTCTCTGCCTTCCCAACTTCTGGTAACTATCATTCTACTCTACTTCTATGAATTCAACTTTAAGGATTCCACATATAAGTGATATCATGTGGCATTAGCCTTCTGTGCTTAGCTCATTTCACTTAGGATAATGACCTGCTGATTCATGTATGTTATTGCAAATGACAGGATTTTTTTTTTTTTAAAGGCTGAACAGTAATCCACTGTGAGTACATACCACATTTTCTTTATCCATTTATAACTGACTAACACTTAGATTGGTTTATATCATGACTATTGTGACTAGTGCTTCATTAAACAAGAAGTACAGCTACTCCTTCAATACAAAGATTTCATTTCTTTTATATATATATCCAGAACTGCTGATACCTGGGTCTGACTATAAAACTTCAGAGTTGAAAAGCCCCAAATTGTATACGACATTATTTATAGGTAATATTGTGAGTTTAAATCTTGTATCTCCTAAGTGTAAATTTTTGAAAAATAGCTATAGCAACATAAATTAAATTTTATATTTCACTGTAGTTTTTATATTGTCTCCCTTCTTACCTCTTTCCATGCATGTGCCCAGCTTCTATCTACATATTATGATTAACACATTCCATGTTAAAGGATTGCTGAAAAAAATTACTTCTTTGGCTGAGAGTTTTAACAGTAGTAGTAACAATCTCAAGAACTCTGAGCATTTGATATGTCACTGATATGGTATGGTACTAGTTTCTTGGCAAGAATGACATTTCTCTTCCTTTCCTACATAAATTTGTTTGGGAAGAAAAACCCTCTGCATTCAATCTGTGACACTTTTTAAAATGAGTTGGTTTCTCTAGTTAGCTTATTTTGTATGTATTAGCTTCTTACTCTAAGGACTAAGTCAGTGATAACTTGCCTAATGTTTTCTTGCTTTGAGGTCTCACTCAATGATTGATAGATTTTTCTAAAAGAACACTAAACAGAAATCCTTTCCATCACACTAGAGAGGCAGTATTAGCCATAAGTATAGGCTCTGGACCCTGCTTGCCTTGTTTTAAATCTTGACCTAGTTATATGCTAGTATGATTTCCCAGGCAAGTTATTTATCCTTAGAGACTCTGGTTCTGTGTTTAAAGAATGGAATAATAATAATAGTAATCTTACAGAGGTAAATATTTGCTTTGAATCCTAGCTCTGCTTTTTAAAAATCACTGGCGCTTTAGTTTTCTTACTTGCAACTGGGATAATAATGATTACCTCATAGGATTAAGGTAAGAATGAAGAGATGAGGTAACAAAAAAATATAATACTGAGCCCCAACACTTACTAAGTCCTCGGTAAACAGAAGGCATTATCTCCTTGTCCTGCAAACACTGCATGAAGACATGGTGATAATAGATCCAAAACCTAGAAAACTACTCTTAGAATAATTAAATTCACATATCTAGGAAGGATTCTGAATGAGATTTCTATACCTCGGTACTCTGAATCATATTTCAGAAACACAGAAGGCTGGATGTGGCCCTGAATCCTGTAATCCCAGTACTCTGGAGGCTGAGGCAGGAGGACTGCCCTGAATTCAAGGCAAGCCTAAACTCCATAGCTAGATGCTGTCTCAACCCCCACCCCAGAAAGAACAAAGATATATGCAATGTTAACTGGATATACACTTGAGTGATGCTGACCTAATAAAACTTGTTATACCTCAAGTGTAAAGTGTTTCTTCAACAAATAAAATTGTTTTAAAGTTACAACAAAAACACTTCAGAGTTCTCTATTAATTAGCAGACAAGAAGTAGCAAGAATACTATGAAATACCAATGGTAATTACTGATATATCAGAATTGACACAAATAACTACATTAAGAAGCCCTAAAAAGTGTTGCACACTGTGTTACTGCATCAAAATACTGATTTTAAAATCTCATTAAAAAAGTTAATGTCTGATAAGGGAGAGGGAGACTGGAGTGCAAAGGTAGGTAACGGGGGCATGGATATTATTAAAATATACGGATTGAGCCCCACCTGAATGCAAAACTAAGGTGAGGGTAGGGCAAAAGGAACTACAGGGGGGGGAAGAATGATTAATGAAACCCATTAATCTGCAGAACTGTTACAGTTTATATTTAGATATCTCCCAACAGCCTCATGTGTTCATCAGTGGAGCTTCTGGAAGAAGACTGGACCATGGGGTGCTACAGTTTAATGATGTTAGGAGTTGGGGCCTGGTCTAAAGACATGGATCAGAGGTCTGGTAGGGTGTATCTCTCTTCCTGGTTCCTCCCTTCTTTCTCTTTCTGGCTTAGCTTTCCCTGAGATTCCCTCTGCTCGTGCCTTTCCACCATGCTTTCCTGCCTTGGAGCTGGCCAACTATGGACTAAATTGTGAGCCAAAATAAACCTCTTCTTTAAGTTCTGGATACTGGATATTTTGTCCCAGTGATATGAAAAGTGACTTAAGACAATAACCAATATACACTAATAAAAAAGATGTGGAAAAAAGTTAATGTCTGCTTACTAGTTTCATATAGTGAGAAGCAAGATTATTGGCTTCTGTCCTATGCTTCCACAACACAAATTCTGGGATATTCAATATTAACCCAAGGGAACATTTCTTGTACAATGTGTAATGTAAACTTGAACATATCCTGTTTCCAGGTGCAAATAAATTTATCTACAGGATGGATTTTATCTAGGGAAAAGAGAATGTAATTGATAAGTTTGGAAAGTGGCATTTCATAAAGCTATATTAAGGGTTATGGAATAACTTAGTCAAAGGTTTGAAGAAAAATAAGCACATTTTAAAGTGAGGCATTTTATATAAATGCTAGGGAAGAGATATTTGTTCAAGAAGGAAATGTTATTGTTGGCTCAAGAGTGAACCATGATTGCATGATATTAATACTGGAAATGCCACAGTAGTGATTCAGCCATGTACCGTGATATAACTGCATTGGGATGATGGAGGAAGGTGAAAGAGCTATACTTATTTACAATAAGAAGCAAGATATACTATGTAAATGAATAAGAAAAATTATAGCAGCATATAAAGATGCGTTAGGCAGAGGAAGTAAATTGCTGGTTCTGAGTATTACTTGATTTTTCTATGTGCACATTAGTTTGAGAAAAAAGGGAATTTTCAACCCAAACAAAAAATATCATGGAGAGTAAAACTAAAAGTTTTGAGACAGGAATATAAATTTTTAAAATACTGATTACTTATACTGAAACCTTAGGTAAATCATACAACTTCTTTTTTGGTACCAGGGAATCAAACTCAAGACCTTGCGCTTGTGAGTCAGGCATGGTGCCACTGAGCTAAATCTCTGGCCCACCATACAACTTCTTTGAGTCTCACCCTCCTTAATCTATTCATTAAGACTATATTTCTAAGAGTCTTTCAACTCCAAGGTTCTGATTTCATTATAACAAAGTATTGTTTTCCCCTAGAATTAAAACCAAAACCCAAACAGCCAGAAACTCTTCTCCATATTTTCATGGTGGATCTTTACATATTTTTGTTCACTTAGTCAAGGGTGTCTCCAAATTTGCCTTGACAATGAAATGGAACTAGCATGTCCCCAACTCGGGAATCCTACTGTACCTGTGAGGCTAGTCTTCTCATAGCCTCCTCTTGCCGCCTGCGCATTTCTGGGGTTCCTGGGCAGCTTCCACTGGTGATGGATGAGTGGGCTGCAGGTGGCTGTGTGAGTGGGAGCTCTCTGTTGGCATCTACATCTGGATTTAAAAGATGAAATGTTTGCATCAGATAACCATAAAACTCTGAACTAAGGGAGGTTAGTTAAATTCCATTTGTTATATGACCCAGCAATTCCACTTTCAGCTATACCCAAGAGAAACAAAAACATATATCCACAGAAAAATTTATACACAGATGTTCAGAGAAGTCTGACTCAAAATAGCCACAACTAGAGATAAATGTCCATTAGCCGATGAATAGATAAACTGTGATATATACATACAACAAACTACTACTTGTTGTAGTAGTAAATAAAAAGCGGGCCGGGGGATTTAGCTCAGTGGTTCCACTGCCTGCCTTACAGGTGCTAGGACCTGAATTCGATCCCCAGTACACCCCCCAAAAAAAGAAATGAGACATCGATACATTATACTATAGGGAACAGGAAAGGGGATAATACTAGAACCCCTGCAGTGGGTCCTGGTCTCCTGTAAGCCCCAACAATGCAAGGCTAATTAGAGAATAAAGACAGGAAATGAGACTTAGAGAAAAGGTTGGGTCTTGTGTTGATCAGTGCTGCTCTACATAGCAAAGACAAAGGCACTCCAAACTTGCCACTATGTATTAGGTTCATAGGGAGTATCAAATGAATCAGAGGGTGGCAATAATCCTAAATTGACAAGGATCTTATAATCGGAGGAAATATCAGGTGACCTGGAGAGTGGCGGTAATCCTATGAAGATAAGGACCTTACGCTGATGAGGATTTTAGGTTAATGAAGAGTTTAGGTTGATTAGGACAGTAAAATGAGCAAAAAAAACATTCTTACAACAGTAGGTGGGATGAGTTAAGTTGATAAGAAATTTGTTCCTTCCCAGGTGATACCTTTCTCTTTTTGTATTACTGCTCAGTTCTCAAAGAACCAGATGTCTTCAGTTGATATAATTTTGCCTTTGAGTGTCACAGCATCATGGGATCATTGAGGCCTCAGCTGGGACTGGAGGCAAAACTGAGTTATTTTTTGGCATGTCACAGCTGACCCACAGGCAAGAAGACTGGGCCTCATACAGACCTAATCATAATTTAATTGTGAAATCATTTTTTCCTCAAAATTATATAGAATGGCTCTTGATACTACACCACAAATGACCCCTGAAAATAATATGCTAAATCAAAGAAGTCAGTCAAGAAGACCATATATCTAGGTGTGATGGCACATGCTTGTAATCATTATACTCTAGGAGGCTGAGGCAGGGGGCCTGAAAATTTGAGCCCAGCATGACAGCTTGGTGACACAGCCAGATCCTGTTTAAAAAAAAAGGCCAGGGACTGACTGGGGATATAGCCCGGTGTGAAGCATTGGGAGACTGAGAGGAAGACACATTGTATATACCTCTACTTATACGAAATGCCCAGAACAGGGAATTCCCCAGAGACAGAAAGTCAACAAGGGGTTTCCTAAGGCTTGAGGTAGGGGATTACAAGGAAAATTGGGATTTACTTAGTAAGAAGCATGGGTTTCTTTTAGAATTAGATGTTTTAGAATTAGATGACAATTGTTATACAACCTCATGATTATACTAAAAATAATGAATCAAACACTTTAAATGGATGAGTTGTATGGGTTGTAAATTATGGCTCCATATGACTTTTTAAATTTGATTTTTAAAGATGGGGGTCTATTTTACCCAGACTGACCTTGAATCTATGATCCTTCTGCCTCAGCCTTCTGAGGCTCCATAATATTTTTTAAAATTTCATTTGTTTCTGGTATTCAGAAAATGCTTTCTTACTGCTAAAATTATAGACTATTTTTGGAATAAGATCATACTTACAAGATACTAAAGACTAAAATAAACTCCCTACCACTAAGAATGAATTGAGATCTCTTCTATACAACTGAATAGTTCTGAATAACTGCAGGATAGAGGGTAAAGAAGATGGTAAACAAGACTGAAGAAATGCAAGACACCTTGAGTTGAGACTAAGTACAGTCATTTGACTGTCACTGAATTACTTCTGCTGTTCATTTCTCTCCTGTGACTCCATTCCTTTTGCCTGGAATTTGATTTTTTGGGTAATTACTGTCCAAATACTCTTTCTTTCAGCTATTCCCTTTCAGAGATGCCCTTCTTTTTTTGTCCAAGTATCTCACTTTCTATTTGGTATTCAGAGAACAGTGGAAATGACAGTTGATAGTTAAGTGGTAGTGCACACAACAAATTGGCAAAGAGACTTCTGAAATGAGCAGAGTAGGGAAAGAGTTACTTAGCAGCTGTTTCTGGGCTTGGCAGCTGTTAACAAATGTCAAATCCAAGTGACCACATTCGAAGATTTTAGTGGTAGGGAAAATATAGTCTTGTATTAGACAGAATTTCCCTAACTACTGTACTGAGTACAGTTACTGTAACAATGTCTGAATTATACAATGGATCTATTTCCACAAAATGTTTTTGCTCTTTGTGTGTATGTGGTTTGGGGTAGGTGGGTGATGTTGCACAGAATGAGGGGTGACTCAGATTTGGGAAAGTAGGCAGGAAGCAGGATAATAGGCTAGTGCCTACCTTGAAGCTTTTCTGCACCTGCCCAGGGAAATGACAAGGAGGACAGCTGAGAGAGCTGAAAGAAGGAGGGGTAGGCAATGAAGTACTGCAGGCCTAAGCTCACATCACATGTAGCAGTGCTGTTCAGTGTGGAGAAGGCAGAAGGAAGAATAACAGATGATGCACAGACAGATAAAGCAAAAGTTCCAAAACTTTCTGCTTATTTTTATTATTACTACAATTATATCACTGGTATCAATGACAGAGAATTAGGAAAGCTATCCAAGTTTAATACAAGTTAAACTCTAAAAAATTAAGCCAACCTTCTGATGTCATTCTTACTCATTCTTGGAAAAATTTCTGCTGCTGCAAGTTGCACTTTTAGTGCTAGCTCAAATAATGACAGATAAAAGCTAAAAAATAGCTTGCATTTGTGACTCTTTAAGGACTATTGCTTCTTAAAGATTATACTGGTAGAATGTGGTTTGAATACCAACAAACTGCTACAAGAATCATTGTGACAAACATGGTCTTGATCTATCACCATAGATTCTATCTCCCATCACTCCTTTTCAGGTTTTGAAAATTAACTATCAGGCTGAATCTACATCTTAACAATAGACACATATCTTATGAATGGGAAGTACCCCAATGCTTTGATAATTCTTGGGAGAAGGGAAAGAAAAAATAAAAGGAAAGCAAAAAAAAAAAAAAAAAATCTTTGTAAATAGGGAAAAGTGGAGGGGGCAAAGGGAGGGTAGGGGAATGGGGAAAAAATAAGAACCAAGACCTGTCATGTAAAGGTACAAGTTCCCAATGATGAATGTAAATGCACTGTATACCTAAAATGTACCAATACATTCTTAATGGGGGGGGGGAAAGAATCTCTTTGGAGCTGGGTGTGGTGGTGCTATAATCCCAGTGCTGAGGAGGCTGAAGCAGGAGGATCTGCAAGTTTGAGGCCATCTTTAACTATATAGCAAGATCCTGTCTCAAAAAACCAAAAAAGAAGCATCTCTTCGAGGAACACATGGGCTATTTTTCTATTAACTCTTGCTCTCCCAGGCTTGTAGGGGTCAAATAGGTGCCTTTGCTTTCTGAGAAAGCTGCTTTTGCCCCTGGTTGGGATTTATCTCCTGTCAAGAATGATTCCATCACACTGCTATCTGCAACACTGAAATACAAAGAAGTCACAGAGAATATAAGCTATCTGATTTTCTTTCAGACACACTAAAACAGATCACCTCTTAGACTACAGGTGTTAAGCAGTTGAGCGTGATATTTAAGCACTCAAAGGAAAACACTGAAATAGGTGTGTTTTCAACCATCAACAACTATTCTAAGAATCAAAAATTTGGCTTATTGTTTATTGTTACTACTACTACTACTACTACTACTACTACTACTACTACTACTATTACTACCTGTGCTAATAATTGAATCCAGGACATTTACATTGAGCTACATCCCCATACTATGCTCCTCCATTTTATTTTTAAATTTGAAACAGGATCTTGCTAAGTCATCAAGTTGTCTAACCTAGGTTTGAAAATTGTGATCCTCATTGCCTCCACCTTCCAGAGTGCAGGGATTAAAGGTATGTGCCACCATACCCAGCTAGAAGCAAGTCTTAAATATCAGCTAGTCATACTTCTAAAGAAAATTGAGATCTAAAGAAAAAAGTAAAATTCTCAAGGTCATAAGACAGTATACAGTGTAAGTGCTGGGCACAAATCTTGGGTTCTGGGTTCTAGAGTACTATGACAATCTGTTTTAGAAGAGATCCACTTAGAATCTAAGCATGATATTCTCCTGAAGAATTATTCTATACCATTTCTCTTTTTTTTTCAGCTTTAATTGAGTTTATTGGTACATTTTAGGGATACAGTACAGTTACATTCATTGTTGGGATCATGTACCTCTACATGACAGGTCTTGGTTCTCATTTTTTCCCCTTGTCCCTGCCCTCCCTTCACTCCCTCCTCCCCTCCCCATCTACAACCACTTTATTTCCATCTTTTCATTATCTCACACTTTTTTCTTTTCCTTTTTACCCTTCCCCTACCCATCCCACCTTCCCGACACCTTTAGCTCCTTTCTTCCCATTTCTCAATGTCAGTAATCTTATTAGGATCTTCTGTATTATTGCAGATTATTCACACCAGAGAAACTATTCGGTATTTACACATGTGTGCCTTATTTATTTCGCTTAGGAGTATATCTTCAATATGTATCCATTTTCCTATGAATGAATCTATTTTCTCATTCTTTATGGCTGAGTAATATTCCATTTTATAGAAAAACCACATCTTCTTTATCCAGTTTCCAACTTCTATACCATTTCTTACCATACTGTGTGATAAAGACTTTTTTTTTGGTACCTAGGATCAAACTTGGGACCTTGGGCTTGCAAGGTAGGCAATGGCACCACTGAGCTAAATCCCCGGCCCAAAGACGGTAGGTATTTTGATTTAACCAGCTTTCTTCTTAGAAGCTAATCATTCTTCTTAATGTTAGATATCTGTATGTTTACTAGAGTTAATCTTCCTACTTGATACTAATTTCAACTGGAAGTAAGATAAAGAGAAGGTATTCAGTGAGTTCCTGTATAGACATGGTTAATATTATGATCACACACAATTTCCAGTGGTTGTTATGTGAATGTGTATGGGTAGGCCAAATTACTAGTATAGCTATGTTTTGCTACAAAGCTAGTGTACAACAGCTTTTTTTTTTTCTCATAACTAAAAGAAACCAGGCAGACTGATAACATATGTATAGTGTGTATATAAAGGACATTTATATGCCTTTACACTATTTTTGTTGTTGTTTTGAGACAGGGTCTTGTTATGCAGTTTAGGCTGGCCTTGAATTCATTATGTAGCTCAAGTGGGCCTCAAACTCACAGCAATCCTCTTGCATCAGCCTCCCAAGTGCTAGGATTATAGACATGTGCCACTATGCCCAGAATATTTTACTTGAGTGAGTTTCACTAGTAAACAGGCAGATAAAAAAGTAGATAATACAATGGCTTTTGAAATCAGATTGTTCAGTTTTTCAATTTATTTGCTTTAAAACCTGGGAGTCATTCTTAACCTCTATGAGTCTCAGATTCTTAGCTGTTAAATGAAGACAACAGGAACATGAACATGTTAAATGAAGATGACAACAATATCACTGAAATGATAAAAGGACTGGGTGAATTAATATTTGTAAAGCACTTACAGACTGTCTGGCACATAGTAAATACTATATGAATGTTTTAAAAATAAACAATATCCTAGTGGTGATCATTAAGCTTGTGACAAAGGAAGACTGGATATATATGGTAAGAGAACTCAACATCTCTCCACGAGGAAGCAGGAGAAACCCTCCAGGACATAATAAAACTCAAGTCCAAGCAGTGTAAAACTGACATCAAAAGCAAAGAAATGAAGGTTGCAAACAGAATGTGCTGGCATGTAACAAGAAGAAATGGGCTCAAGCTGAGCAAAATCTGACAGTGAATGCAAATGGCTCTAGAGGCAAGTTCTGTAGTCATTATTCAAAGGACAGACCAAGCATACAGACACAGGGAAGAGTCATAAATTTATTCCATGAGAAAGTTTTTTTTCAGTCCTACTTAGGTAACTGTTAAATATGTGGGTTGGATGTACATAGAGTATTACATTCTGTCTTGGAACTCTGAATTAATGGTCCTTACATGCAAGTCAAGTTTTACAAATCAAGAAATAAAAGGATATGTTAACTGAACATAAATATATCAGAAAAAAATTTCAGAGCCAAGGAAGCAGGAAGTTCCTTAAAATAGAATACATACGTTTTGGGGAGGAATGTGGACTGTCTGAGGCGATCTGTCTCATCCGGGTACCATGGCAGCTAAGGGCCACCAGTCTTGAGATGATGGCAGTTTTTCCAAACCCAATATTTCCCACAATCACCACTCCTTGGTTCACGCTGGCATTTGAACTTTGAAGTTGAGCATCTATTTCATGGAAAACCCAATCTCGACCAACAAACACTGACTCTGTAGTGATGCTGGGGACTTCAAAGAGCAGAGGCTTCAGGGAGATATCTGGAGGCCTGTAAGGTGCAAAGCGAACTGAAAGGAACAATAAAACAAAGAACTTAAATCAAGTTGTCAACACTGAGAGAAACAAAAGAGCATCACAGTTTACAAGTCTACTAGAGTTACAGTACGATGATATTTTGGGCTTATTCAGAAAATAATAAAGCTCTAAAAATGTTGGTTTTATATAGATAAATGACACAGGTGTGCTAGGTACATTTAATACTTCAGAATGCAAACACTGATCAAACAGTAATGATTTACAACAGTCAGAAAACCAGGACAATATAAAAAATTACGAAAGAATAGTATCTGATGCTGGCAACCCCCCCCCAAAAAAAACAAAGAAAAAACAAACAAAAAAAAATTTAAAGAAAGTGTGGAGGCAAAGGAGAAAAAAGAATTGAGACATGTTATGCACATGTACCAATTCCTCACAATGAATGCAATTATTATGTACTGCAAACATGTACTAATAGAAATTTTAAAAATACCAGTTACATTGGACCAGGCCACATCCTAAAAAACAAACAAACAAGAAACACAAAAACAAAACCAGAAAAGGGCAGAAAGAAATTGCCTTGCCCTTTCCAGAATGCATGAACACAGTGAAAGGTACCATTTATGAGGAATGAGCCCTCTCCAGATGTTTTTTTTTTTTTTTTTT